GCGATGTGCGACGGATTTTGCCTTTTTTTCGTCGCAAAAATCGTCGCTAATCCGGCGTTTTTTTGTAGTGTGATCATGCATGAAATAATGAATAACTAATATGCAATCTATGTGAGACTCTCTACTTCTAATTTTTTTTTGTATTTTTCTTTATTAACTAACAAAAGACAAATGACCCTAAAAGTCTACAAATTAAATAAATCCTAACCCTGCATCTATATAATTTAAATCCTAGGTGCTTGACATAGTTACAGTGAATTATCAACTATTATTGAACTATATGCAATGCGGATGATGCATGTAATGTAATCACTAAAACTATCTACATTATATGATTATTAAAACTTTGTTCTAAATGATATGCATTGTCTAACTTAACCCTAGGTCTACATGCAATCTAAATGATTTAACATAACATTTTTTTTTATGAAAGCTATGAACTAACTTGAATCTATATATATTCTAAAACTATCATATCCTAAACGTATATATGCCTTACGATACTAGCCATGCATGGTCCTAAATATGAAAACAAGTGGCTTGCAATGACGATTGATAATATTGTGATGCAATGAAACACACATCATAACAAAATCAATCATAACAAGTCATGCAAGACGATATTAGGATCCAACCTTACTGTCTAAAGGTTCTAATGACTAATACGCCTTATTTAACATGGGTAAATAATCAAATCATGATAACCTGAGGTTCTATAAACTAATAACATGCAGTTAAGAATTATCATAGAAAGTTGAACACAACTCCACTTACCTACATAACACATAACACCCAAACGAGACCGATGAAGAGGAATCACAAGCAGCTGGAAGAATACTAGGCGACGATTGAAGAGCAATTGGACTGAGACCACGACAGGTTAGTGGGCTCGATGGCCTGCTATCGTGATGAAGGTTTCGTCCAAGAGACCTGCAACAAACTGAGAATACAATGAATTTGACAAACAGGCTTGTAGGAATGCAGGAAGGGCTCGTCAAGTCGCTGGTGGCACGCCGAAAGGAAACCAACGTTGTTAAGAAGATCCCTGACTATAGCCAAGGTCGTCCTAACAGAAATTGTTGGAGCGTACGCAAGCAGGTTGGACTTTCTTGGCAAATGTGGAACACGGCAGCGGGGATTGCTACCGAGGCACGGCAAGAATACTGGGTATTCGTCAGGTACGACATCAAGGCCGGTGATCGTCAAGTTGGATAGTGATAGGGACCGCGGATGAGCAGGGGCTGAGAGTTTAGCTTCGCTAGGAAAAAAAAGGCAGTCGAGAAAAAGCCATCTAGAAACCCACTCAGATGTTTGGATTGACAACTTGGAAAACTACTCGGGCAGTCGAGAAAAAGTCATATGGAAACCCACTCAAATGATTGCATGGACAACTTGGAAAACCACTCAGACAGTCGAGAAAAGTCATCTCGAAACCTATTAAGATGATTGCATAGACAATCTGGAAAATCACTGTGCCACAATTGAAGAAATAGCAAGCAGTGACAATTGGATTGTTTATTGGCTTAGTCAAAGCAAAAGTCAAGCTTGGACTGGAGGTGCCGAGATTCATGCTATTGGCATAGTGAGAGCTTGAAACAAAAGAGGGACACACTCAGAAGATATCTGCATCCTGCCTTCGCCGCAAGTCACGACCAACGGGCAGCCAGACTGATGGCCGAGAACCTCCACACTACGAACTGTTGCAAGCTAGCCGAGGCCGAGAATCGCGAGCCACTGCCGTTTGTGACGCCGTCTCCTTCGCCAAGCCCGACCGCCAGTCTACCACTGTCGGCCAATTCCCGTGATCCGCAATCCTGATCCGAGTCGAGTTCAAATTTGGAAGTTATCCACAAATTAGGTAAAAATATTATCCTATATCTTTTAAATATTTAAATGCCTAATGTGGATAACGTGTTATCTTTGGTGGATTAGTTGATATATTTGAATGATGCATGGCATATCCGCAAGATTTTAAAATATCCGAAAGTAGGAATTTTCATAACTTGACAACGTGCTTGGGTGACTATCCGATTTTAGCCATGAGATACGATACTCGGCGGCATGGAAAGTTTTTATTCTATCCATAACCATTTGGATACAATAATAGATTTTTTGTTGGAAATATATCGCGAAAACAACAGGATCTTGCAATTTAAATCAATGTGAAAATACCAGAGAAATAAACGATGAACGATAAATGATACTAGAGATATACCCAGAGAAATAAACGATGAACGATAAATGATACTAGAGATATACGTGGTTCGATCTGAATATCGGTATCTACAATCACGGGAAGAGCCAACGACAAATAATTAGAGAATCAGAGTTACAATTCGCTTGAGTGTTTCCCACATCTAGATTTAAGCCTAAACCCAAAGTGTTTAGGAATAAACAACTTAATTGAACGAAATAAACTCATAGCACAAATTACCGCGTGTTCAAACCCAAACCAAAACACGCGCACGTTCAAGAACATCTCTGTACGTTCTGCGGCTTTAGTCTTCGCTAAAGGAAAGAAACCCTCAATTTCTTCTCTTTTTATACGCGGCAAAAACCCCCGTTTTGCTTCCCTTTTATCTGACTTCCGTGACCCCGCACGTCCAAGAAGGGAAGTCCTTCACTGGTAAGAGTCAACAAATTGACCCGGGCCCACCGGAATAGATATAATAAAATAAAGCGTGCCACTGTTTTGTCTTTCAGTGACCTCCTTTATTCTCTATTGGTGCTAAGCCAATAACCGTGAGCCCATGCATCCGAAATCAGCTAACTAGGAAAGCGAATTTGTTACGCGGGCTCAAACTCGAGACATAAGTTTAACAAAAAATGCCGGAACAGCGGAGCTTGGTGAGCGCTACCGATAGTGATGACTTGCGGCAAGACAATATGGACGTCCAGGCTCCTTCACGATCGCAGCATCGTCACTGGAAAAGAGTAGAGTCACCGATGGTCAAAGTGACCGAAACTTCGTTTCACCAAATTTCACTTCGGGTGCTCTTACTGCTTATGCGTGTGGAAGGTCAGAGCAAGTGTGGCTTGGAGGAGTGAATGTCTCGTGCGCTCGACGTTGGACTCTGTGGGTGACGGTGAAAAACCAGAAATGGAGTTGACGGGCCCCTCTAGACTCTAGTGGCGGATGTGACCTTCAGCAAGAAGAAGGAATTTTTTGGTCTCTCTCAAATTTTCTGTATTCACGATTGTCTCCTCTTGTTTTTTCTTTTACAATCGCTTCTCTCCCACGGAGGAAAACCACGATGATGGTCACTCTCCTTTTATAGCAAAAAATCTCCCACGTATCATTGGAAAGTCTCAATTCGTGGAGCCGATTGATAATTCTCGGAGAATTGCTGAATTTTGGCTTTGACTTGTCGCCCAGAATCGACTGTGAATCTCTCTAATTCACTTCCCAATTAGCGCTCGCGATCTTTTGATTTCCTCTTTTTGCTTGTACTCATATTGCCTTGAATGTGTCCACGTTTACTCGCCATCGGCCGCCCATTCCTCAACCTTGCGGATTTCCTGACCCCGCTTTTCCTTCAACCGATGGCTTATCAATCTTCGCAATCGTTTCCTTTTGATTCTCATCACTTGGTTGGCCTTCCTTATTTCTTTTTTCCATCCTCACGGCCTGTCCTTCACCTTTTCCATAATCGGATTCGGATTATCTTGGAAACTCTTACTCGATGGGTAAGTTTGTTACTTCTTTGTCCGCCAAATCTCGAGTCTTCATCAACTCAATTCCGACCTTGTGGAGAGGTGATCTGATGTATGCTTGTCCGTGGAGGCATCGTACAATAAGGAGTGATCTTACATGCGATGACTTAAGTAAAAATGCAAATGCAAGTGATTTTTTTTTTTTTGGGTCGAATTTGATCCCTAATTTTTCAAATGACTAGGTGAAATAATCAAAATTTAGGTGTTATCAAACAGTTTGGTTTCATGAATGATTACATAAGAAGTAGGGGTGTGGAAAAGAATCGGGAACCGCCGAAAATCAGACCAGAACCGGTGGTTTCCATGGGGAGCGGTTCGATTCCTGGTTCCAATTAATTGGAACTGATGAGTACAAGTTCGATTCCTGGTTTCAGGTGTCGAACCACCCACCCGGACCGGACCAATACATATATATAATTTTTTACATATAACCTTTCGGTTTCTCAGTTGGAAATCTCTTGACGCTCAAACTAATTGCACCGATATAACAAGTTAACTATTTCGCCTCGAATAATATTAAATTGCAATAGCGAATACTAGCCGACGGAATTTAGACGATTGACATAATACAATTTTTATCATTAGCAAGTGAATTCATTCTATTAACGGGTTGATATTTTCATTTCGAGACCGTTTGAGTAGACCAATTTGTACACTAAAGAAGTATTTGAACTCCTAATTATTTTCCGTCCGGCGTAAAAGTCTAGCCCCCTAAGTTGCCCTAAAGCAAAATTTTCCAGCCGACAAAGTCATTACACAATTCGCAACTGGTCGAGATTGGTAAGCCTATGTCAACCCTAACCTTAATGATCCAGATTAAGGTTGTCAGGATCTTGCCGTCCTGCAAATAATCACCTTGATTTTTTACCCTTTTCTCCACTAATCATTTGGGATTAAAATGAAATCTCCCTGACAGCAATTGCTAAGGTGTCCGTTAATTAGAGGGGAAAAGGGTATTCTAGTAATGAATAATCAAGTGAAGGATGCCACGTCAGCGGGGATGAATGTCGGGTCTCGTCGGGTATGCAGGTCGAATGGTCCCCTCTCCCGGTCCTTGTTCTTAATATCGTCAAGCCGGTTTCCTACATTTGTTCGATTCTGCTGGTGGGATGTATCGGGACGGGTTTTGGCAGTAAATACACATCGTTCTTGAATGGGATTACAACCTCTCTAGCGTCGCGTAGAAAGCAACCACTGCTCAGTGTGTGACTGTAGCGTTGTGCTATATAAAAAGGGTCAGTTGGAACTGCGATTGCTTAAGGATGTTTATTATATTTGTTAGAGAGGAAGAGAGAGAGAGAGAAGCGGTAGTTGTAGTGAGAGTCATAAGCAGAAGATTGCGATGAGCATGGATGAATTGAGTGATGGTGGTGGTGAGGCTGAGAATCTTTCTGGGTTCAACAGATATGCCTGTGCTTGTGCCATCGTTGCTTCCATGATCTCCATCATTTTTGGCTATGGTCATCTCTCTCTCTCTCGCCCCTCATCGTTGTCCTTTCTTGTACTGATTCCACTTTCAATTTTGCAATTTCACTCCAGATACTGGTGTCATGAGTGGGGCCATGATTTTCATTAAAGAGGACCTCAAGATAAACGACACGCAGGTTGAATTCCTAGCCGGAATCCTAAACATTTGTGCCCTTGTGGGCGCCCTCATCGCCGGAAGAACGTCTGACTACATTGGCCGCCGTTACACCATCGTTCTCGCCTCCGTCATCTTCTTACTCGGTTCAGTCCTAATGGGCTATGGGCCATCCTATGCGATCTTGATGACGGGACGGTGCATCACTGGCGTCGGGGTCGGCTTCGCCCTTATGATTGCGCCTGTCTACTCTGCAGAAATCTCCTCCGCCACGCATCGAGGATTCTTAACCTGTTTGCTAGATATAGCCATAAGCCTAGGGATCTTGCTCGGCTATGTATCGAATTACTTCTTCGCGAAATTGACCCTAAAGCTGGGGTGGAGGATGATGCTAGGTGTTGCAGCGATCCCTTCCCTCGCCCTGGCATTCTGGATCCTTAAGATGCCCGAATCGCCGAGGTGGTTGGTATTGCAAGGCCGGCTGGCCGAGGCAAAAAGGGTCTTGCTCCTAGTTTGTAATTCAGAGCAAGAAGTGGAAACCCGATTCCAGGACATAATAGTAGCAGCCGGGATGGACGAGAATCGCAATGAGGATGTTGTCGAGCTCGCGAGGAAGACTCGCAGCGAAGGTGTGTGGAAAGAGCTCTTGCTAAGGCCCTCGCCCTCAGTGCGGTGGATCTTGTTGGCCGCGGTCGGTATTCATTTCTTCGCGCAAGCGATAGGGATGGTAGCAGTCGTCATCTACAGCCCACGAATTTTCAAGAAAGCCGGAGTGACCAGCAATAATAGGCTTTTGCTTGCCACGGTTGGGGTTGGCCTCACAAACATCACATTCACAACGATAGCCGCATTTTTGCTTGACAAAGTTGGTAGGAGGAGATTGCTCCTAGTTAGCATAGGAGGGATCATCATCACCCTAACTGGATTGGGGTTTTGCTTGACAATGGTGGAGCACGCGAAGGAACAACTCTTGTGGGCTCTCATCTCGAGCATCGTGGCCACGTATGTGTACGTGGCCTTCTTGTCGGTCGGGATTTCCCCAGTCATGTGGGTCTATAGCTCGGAGATATTCCCGTTGAAGCTGAGGGCTCAGGGGGTGAGCATCTGCGTCGCGGTGAACCGGCTCATGAACGCGGTCGTGTCGATGAGCTTCCTCTCGATATCGAAAGCCATAACCATCGGCGGGAGCTTCTTCATGTTTGCTTGCGTATCCGTGTTGGCTCTGGGATTCTTCTATTTCTTCTTGCCTGAGACGAAGGGCAAGTCCTTGGAAGAGATTGAGATGCTCTTCACAAGGAAGAATAGTAAGGCCATGAACAAAGGCATAGATCCAACCAATGTCTAGTGTAGACTGTACAACTTGGATTAGTGTGGTATATTATGCAGCGTATATAATTTGAAATGTGCAAGAGAGCAAGCTTTAAGCTATATCATCAAGAACCTTGTAATTTAGTTCAAATATCGTTGAGAAAGTGTACATTTCTCCAACTCGGATCAATATTAATGCAGCTTTTCCTTATCCCTCTATCTTTTAAGTGCTTCTGATCTCTTAAAACTTCAATTTACTCATTAACTGGGCAGCATTTCAACAGCCTGTACCACAATTGATTTCTTGTATATGTGAATGTGGACTTAGCATTGATGGTTTAAAATCGAGCCAAGTTGATCATATAAAATAATAATAATAATAATAATATTGTTTGGTTTAGGATGATGAAGCCATCTTGACTCTTCTCCGGTTACCGAAAACGACTCTTGTGTCTGAACTTTTCAAAACAGGGATTTCCATCATTTGATTATCCGTAGATTCTTGCGTGATTTTCGGCTCTTGAGGATTATAAAGTTTTGAATTTGGATCATCCACTTGTGCATGTCACCGACTTTTCGAAGGGCTCATTCTTAACTCGGTTTCGGGCCATGTCATGTGCTGGTCATGCGTGATCCTGTAATTGAATCATGTGCAAGGGTTGCGGCAATTAATCCACGAAGACGAGGTTCGGACATCGAGCGGAATAGAAAAATTGAAAGTTTAAGGACTAAGACTCCAGTTTCTCAAAGATCAGAGACTCGCAAATGCGAAAATCATCGAGCTCCGAGGGTCCAGAATTCAATTCGGTCGGTCCTGATATTTGATTAAGTTTGGGAACAGATCTTCCATCCTTACTGCATGTTTTGGTTTGCTAAAGGAAATAAAAAGGATCAGAATGATAATCCCACGGATACCTTTCAATTCAGATTATGTTTGTATCAGTAATGTCTTTGGTTTACCAACTTTCTAATCATCCTTCAAATGCGCGAGAATTACGTGCCGCTTAGAGGCCCCGAAAGGCACAATTGATACAATTGGCTTCGCCATACATTTGATTCAAGAATCGCGAAAAGCACAATTGGTACAATTGGTTTCGCCATACATTTGATTCAAGAATCGTGCACGGTCGTGTCTTCCGTAGCCTCGATGGCCAATACAAGCTCGCAACGCGAACCAAGATCGAGCTCAGAGTTCGGCTCGTTCTTAAATTTCCAGTTGGATCTGCAATGCCGGTCCGATTCTGTCTTTCTTTGTCTTTTCGTCGGTCAGGTTCTTGCATTTGACTGTCTTCAAGTACACCAACCTCTGCACATTCAAGTTACTTTGCTCATCTCTGACATATTCCATTTACAATCTCTCCAGCCTCAGCTGCCAAAATGGAAATTAGCGTGCAAGGAAGAAAATTTAGCATTAACCTAGGCGCAAACGTCACCTTACAAAGTAAATTTTGTCGACATGCCTACTTATGACATACATGTAGTACCAAAACATGTAAGTAACATCATGTGTAAGGTGTCAATCCTAAGCTTTTGAGCAAATAAATTCCACGAGAAATGAGCAGAGCTCTTGTTTCTGTTTGTATCCAAGGGGGATTGACTGCAAAAGAATATAGGTAATTCATATGAAAGAAGAACCATTCAATGAATTTCTCGACGTATCGGCTGTTCCAATTTACAACCATCAAAAAATTTCTCACATCAAATTGAAAGAAAACAAAATTCCCGTCTACATACATACGAGCTTGTCTCTGCCATAGAAATCTAGTGCTTCATGGCCACCATGAGGCATCCAGCAGCTGTGCGATGGATCATCATTGGAGAGGACAACGATTTAAAATTTCGAATCTCCATAATTTCTGGTTTATGTGTAATCAGCGAGCCACCACTGCCTCTCCTCTCTCTGTTATCTTGAACCTCTTAGTAAATTCTCGAGCATTCTACAAAAGGGAAGGGGACAGTTCTGTTAGATTTTATGAGCTACAAAAGGCTCGCAGCATAGGCAGTTTTTATAAATGCCCAATCAAAAATACAACTGAAAGATCCATGTGATTCGAGAAACAAGAAACACGAGCCATAGGATCAATCAGGCTGTCATTCATGCATGTTCTCTTATAATTCATCACTAATGAAACCGCTTTCAGGTTCTAATTACTCAGATTCCAGAATTGACAAGAACAAAATTCAGTTCCCACTTTCCCAGTACACTTCACAAATTTCTGTTAATCACTGGTCACGAGCCAACATCATTTGAAACAAAAGAACAAGCAGGAACTGTATTTGCAAGTTCATGAGAACCACCTGCCAAAACTCACTAACTGTAAATTGGAACAGCTTATGCTTATGACACGAAAAAATAGGAAAAAATGTAACTTGCAACAAAAGATCAAGGATGATCTCACATTCCCCTAAATTGGGCATACAGTTAGAAAAGGCAGAGGAGATAAGGGGAGGCCTGAAATCCAGCTGGTTCAAAAGCCAGAGCAGTAATTCTGTTTTTAGTTTTTTATTCGGTCACATATGTGCAACTATTGGCATAAAATTATATCCTAAATGGTGACCCAAGCCTGAAAATTAGATTTTGTTTTAAGTCAGTCTCTGACTCTCTACCAATCTCAAAGATCAAATTCTGATTATCCGAGCATGCCGTAAGAAGATTTGCATACATCAATTGACCCTCAAGTTCTTTTCATTTGATAACAAAGTAAATTTCATTTGATAAGAATTGCACTTGAGAAAAGCACATCAAGTGCCAAGATCACTCTTGAGAACATACTTGGTAAACCTTTCCACAGAGCAACTATAATTTCTAAATGGGAGCTTCAACCTCATTAGGCATCTAAAAAGAGGTTCAGAGCAGAAGTTTCTGAAAACCAATGTACAAGTTCCTAAAGGAGCTTCTCTAGCTTAGCTTTCGAAAATTCAAATGTCAATCTATCCTCAAAAGTATGAAAATTTCATTAGTAACTTTTAGAGCTTGGATAACATGAAAAGACCAACATAACAGAGAAAACATATGGGTCTTTTCTCTCTTTATCATCTTATAACATAGTAAAGTTGCTATCGATCCTCAAATGTTTCCAAAGATTCCTTCCATCTTTATCATCTTATAACATAGTAAAGTTGCCATCGATACTCAATTATTTCCAAAGACTCCTCCATGAATAAAACTCTTTATCCTGCCTTTAATTATCAATTACTTTGTAGCTTCAAAGCCTTAGATTAAAGCCCTGAGGCCACAGCTGCATCAGCACAAAACAATTGCAAAGGCACCTTTGCATGATTAGTGATCTCGCTTAGAACAGGTAGACAAATTTACATGCTACATCTACCTCCAAACTGCCAAAAAGATATTTGCTAAATATGAATTAAATCATTCGATGAAAGCAACCTACGTGCTACAGCAGAAAACAGGTCTATAGACAACTGTTTTGCGTGCACCTGCGCACGCTAGAAAGAGAGAGTTATCGCTCCATCCTAATGACCAGCTATAAACCTTGTACATTGGCCAATAAATTTCTGTAAGTGTATCAAAATAGAAACCTTATGCCAGCAAACAATAAGAGAAGTGCATTTATACACTAGTTTGACAGATTAAAGTCTAGTATCAGCTATCCAGGTTAAAATTCCTGGAGACAACATTCATGAGGCCAAATCAAACAAAAGCACCCACCCATTTGTTCACTTTCTTTCATTCCCTCCACATTTAGCTACTCTCCTAACCAAATGCAAATATTTCAGAGGCGACTACACTACTGATTCCACATACCGATGAATTGGCATTTGAGACATATCGAATGCAGATCTGTTTTAAACGGTTTTGTGTTAGATATGGATGTATTTGACATGTGATGTGAACCTCTAGCTCTGTCCAATGAGTTAGTAAAAAACTTCCGGTGGACAGTTCAAGCCCAGAACTCAGCTATAAAACAAACTCAGAAGCAGCTCTATATCACATACTCGAATATCTAAACTTTCTCCAAGTACAGTTGTTTATTCCCCAAATTCATCGGTTTGTTGAAGACAACCACATGATTACACCAATGATATTAACACTTTGCCAAGGGAAATAGAAATGCTACCAAGAGGCCACCCTCCCATTTAACTCTCCAAGTCACACTAACAAATGTGGCTTTCTAAAAGTCATTTTCATCTAAACCTCCTATTCCATCTTTTAAAACGCGTACTGATCGAAAGGATCACACCTCTAAATTGGAGGATCCATATCCTACTAAGCTATATCAGGAAAAACTGCAAGTCTTTTCAAGTACGCTCTTAGTACATTTCCAATAGTTTAAAAGCCTCATTTGCAGTCCAATTTTTACAATTTGAAGCATTACAAACTAACAACTCGATGAATGAACAAGGAACACAAAAGAACAACAATGAAAGGAGATCGTCGAGCGTTCGCACTTACCGTGGATTGAGCTGGAGGGGGATCGATGAACCGTATGGACATCTTAGCGATCTCTGCGATCGCATCCTCTCTAACACCAGGAACGTCACTGCTCAAGTCCTCGAACGCGGCCTCGAACGCCTCCTGCCAAAACTTGTGCATTCTGATCCGCCTGCTGTTCGTGTACACGTCCCACATGTGCTTCACCAACTTCTCCCTCTCCTCCATCTCCTGCACAAGCATTCACACAGAATCCCACCCCAAATCAACCCGACGAGATCCAATCCGAACCCTAGCGACGACGCAACACAACCTCAGAAACCCGCGACGCTCAAGAAACGAAAGCGCAGAGAGAGGGGGAGGGGGGAGGCACTGACGAGGACGTCGAGATCGTCGCGAATGGGGGCGTCGAGGTCGTCGGAGAGGTGGTTGAGGTTGCCGGCGGACCACCGGAGGGTGACGGTGCCGGTGAACATGGACCAGAAGGCGAGGAGGAGGATGGCGGCCAGCGCCCAAATCTTGTACCGGCCGCGGCCGAAGGGGCCGGAATCCGGGCTCTCCCTCTTCGCGTTGGCGACCGCCGCCGCCGACGCCGACGATATGGGGAGTAAATCGTCATCCTTCATGTCGGGAGACGCCGGCGAGCTCGGGTTGGGGCGGGTGGGGGATTCGACGGACTGTCCGACACTAACTCGCGCGTTGGAGCTACGGGGAGAGAGAGAGAGAGAGAGAGAGAGAGAGGGAAAGAGACGGGATTTGGGAAGGAGACGATCTGAGGAGAGAGAGAGAAGAGGGGTTGTGGCTTTGGGGGGAGGGGGGCAATTGAAACAATTTTTTTTTTTGCGGGCCACCGCATTATTATATTGTTTTTGCTGTGATCTTTCGTTGACGTCGAATCTGACTCCGGGTGGGTCGGTCCATCACGTGAGCGAGGGGAGGTCGGTCGGTCAGTCGCGCCACCCGGGAAGTCCTAACCACGAGGTTTTACCACCCCCCCGGTCCGGTGCTGCGGGTCTAAGTCTGCACTCCGATGGGTGGCGGAGTCTCAGCTCTTGACTGGATCGATGGGTGGGCGGGCGCACTTGACGAGACCGCCGCCGCCGACGCCGACGATATGGGGAGTAAATCGTCATCCTTCATGTCGGGAGACGCCGGCGTGCTCGGGTTGGGGGGGGTGGGGGATTCGACGGACTGTCCGACACTAACTCGCGCGTTGGAGCTACGGGGAGAGAGAGAGAGAGAGAGAGAGAGAGAGGGAAAGAGACGGGATTTGGGAAGGAGACGATCTGAGGAGAGAGAGAGAAGAGGGGTTGTGGCTTTGGGGGGAGGGGGGCAATTGAAACAAATTTTTTTTTTGCGGGCCACCGCATTATTATATTGTTTTTGCTGTGATCTTTCGTTGACGTCGAATCTGACTCCGGGTGGGTCGGTCCATCACGTGAGCGAGGGGAGGTCGGTCGGTCAGTCGCGCCACCCGGGAAGTCCTAACCACGAGGTTTTACCACCCCCTGTCCGGTGCTGCGGGTCTAAGTCTGCAGATCTCCGAGTCTCGCTCTTGGACGGATCGATGGGTGGGCGGGCGCACTTGACGAGCCCGCCCGAAGAAGAGGACTGGAGGGCCGAATTCTCTTACCGAAGGGTAGCCCAATTTTGATGAAGATCGAACATTTTGATATGCGTTTTTAATTTTTGAATGGAAACTCTCACACTTTTAAGATCGATCTTATCTAGCAATCACCTTACTTAACTTGGACGGCTTGTTGGGTCCTTTGATAGAGTTGGACCAACTCTAAAGTTTCAAGATCGAGAATCAATTTGCACAGTGCAAATTCTGGGGATCTCAAGACCAAAGACCGACTCAGTTGCCTTAAGAACTGGGAGAGGAGCGGCCAAGTTGAGCCATCCTGGACCGATACTCTTGGTTTGGGATCTAGAGTCTAGGGATGCAAGATTAAGTATTCGAAACATGAATTCACCGCTTGCTCTCTCCTATGAAATTATTTTATGGGACGAACACACGATTAATATCCGGCATTCTCTATTTTCTATTCCAATTTTGTGTCGGTTTTGTTGTCGTTGAGAGGCACATCACTGAACATGAAATCGTGCAAATTGAATTGAATTGTTGGTTTTCGACCAAAAAAAAAATTTGAATTGTTGGTCATGTTAGATAAGAAGGATCCAACTGAGTAAAATTAAAGGGTGAAGAATAAATCCAGCATTTTTATTGGATAATTAGGGATTAAAATCGAATTGCTATATAAGTAAATTCATATTAACAAAAATCAGTAATCCGCAAGAGAGAGAGAGACAGTGACGGCACAGACTGGGGAAGGAGCTGGAAATGAAGTGCCCGTACTGCTCGGCGTCGCAGGGGCGGTGCGCCGTCACCAGCGGCGGCCGCCCGATCACCGAGTGCACCTCCTGCGGCCGCGTGGTGGAGGAGCGCCACCACTTCCCCCACCACCTCTTCCACCTCCGCTCCCAGGACAACCCCCTGTGCCTCGTCACCTCCGACCTCCCCTCCCTCCCCCCGCAAGCCCTAACCCCCGCCGACGCCGACGACGATCCCTTCGAGGCCACCGGCTTCATCACCGCCTTCTCCACCTGGTCCCTCGAGAACTCCCCGCTCTCTCTCCGCTCCTGCCTCTCCTTCTCCGGCCACCTCGCCGAGCTCGAGCGGACTCTCGAGTCCACCAACCCCTCCTCCTCGTCCTCGTCGGCGAATTCCAGCTCGACGCCGTCGTCGTCGTCGACGGTGGTTGTGGACAATCTGAGGGCGTACATGCAGATCATCGACGTGGCGTCGATCTTGGGGCTGGATTGCGACATTTCGGACCACGCGTTTCAGCTGTTTAGGGATTGTTGCTCGGCGACTTGCTTGAGGAATCGGAGCGTCGAGGCTCTTGCTACTGCCGCTCTGGTTCAAGCCATTAGGGAGGCGCAAGAGCCTAGAACTCTTCAGGTGATGCCTCAGCAGATGTTTATTTTGTCTCTATGTCTGTTACTTCTAGATAAACTCATGCGATGCTTTTGCAATAGAACGTGTTTTTGTAGAAACAATCAGTGGTATTTCATATGAAAGGTGTAGTTGGATGCTCCTATGCATTGCACTTAAAGGGTGCACCTCAGGTTGATGGTGATCCCTGCATCACGTACTTTTTTGTTTACCCATACTAGTGTGGTGGATGTAAGACTTCATAGATTATTAGATGTGATTATCTTGTGTTGAAATGTGTATCTGTAGGGGAATCCCTGTTCTGCATCTTATAGGGGCTGGTTTAGTTGGAACTATACTGCTATGCATTAGACTTTAGTTCGTATGTGGATTCATGGTGGCAGCCGTCATCGCATACCGTCTTAGTGAGACCTTTGATGATGTGACGTGGATACTTGTTTGATCTCTAGGGCTCTAAACATATGTTTTTTTCTTCATAATTGAACTTTATGCAACGCATGGATCTTGAGCTCCATCAATATCAAGGCAAGTGCCCCTTCCGTTGCCCAAGTTATCAAATGTTGTATGTGAGTGGCAGTTCCACACATTTTCTGCGCTATGTTAGGATGATCCACGTTTCTCGTAGGTTGAAAATTCTTAACTCATGTTGATTTCCACTGTTTCTTGGTAGTAGCAAGAGTGGGTCTCGGGACTAATTAGACAAAGAGGGTAGGTTAAAAGTCCGTTGTGCTATAGGAGATACTGATAAATAAAACCTTTAGAAGCCTGGATATCATGCAAGCTTAAAGAAATCGCCATCAAGTGCGCGAAGTGGTCTTTGTCTGATAATTGTACATCCACTCAAAGTTGACTGTCACTGTCTTGCTTTACTGGCTCTGGTTGTTCCCCAAGTCCTATTGCCAACTGATATTGGCAAATATTTTCTTACAGATGCATGTTGATCCGAACACTAAGTCTGGGCGTCGGCTCAATGAATAACCTCCTTGTGTCTTCTGATTTTGTACTTGCAACCACTATTATCCATTAGGAGTCTGTTTTAGATTTGCGGTAGATCAGCTTCTTTTCTGTGCTATTTTTTATTTATTTATAAAATTGAGTTCAAAGTCTGTCGTAGCTTGTGAAAGAACAATGATTGGGGAAGAGTTGTGCATGTTAAACCTTTTGGCGAGATTTAGTTATGTCGACACTCTCATTAAAATTTTCACTTTCTAACAAATGAACATAGAAACCAGCAAACTCTCTCGTAACTTTTTGGACCAGCTGACATAGTCATCCAGGAACACACACGTTGCTAGCCATACACCTCAACCAAATATAGCTCAAATAGTACATCTTTTCATATGCCAATTGACTTTCAGAAGGTTATCTTTTGGGTAGTTATTTTTGTGGCATTTACAGTATTAAAACCCAATGATAGATCTTCATACATAACAGAACATATGAGCGCTTGACTGACCTTATGATACTTAGGAAGAATTGATGAGTTTTCTCTTGCTGGCATCAGAAAACATGTTCTGGTATGCTTAATGATTTGCTTTTTTGGTTTGAGCACAATTTCTATTATTCAATGCTTTTCTCGCGTTTCTTATTTGTCTGTAATTTTTCTGGTATTTGCTAGTAAATTGCCCTTAGAGGGATTTGCTACAAGTGACTTGTGTTCTACGTTCTGTCAATGTTAATTTCTTTGCTCTTTAAATACAATCTTGGAGCGTCTCAAACTTTCTTCCTTTCCTTATGGGATCTAACGTGAACTTTAATGTTCAGGAAATTTCAATTGCGGCCAATGTGCCTCAGAAAGAAATTGGGAAATATATCAAGATACTTGGGGAGGCTCTCCAGTTAAGTCAGCCCATTAACAGCAATTCAATATCTGTCCATATGCCAAGGTTTTGTACACTCCTCCAACTCAACAAATCTGCTCAGGTATTCTTGTGTTTGTAGATTTTACCATAGTTCCTATTGATTCGAGGTTGGCTATGTTGCCTCGTGTAAAGAGTCGACTTATGTTAGATGATATGATGCTATGGGCCACATTGTTAAGAGGAAAAAGAGCGATCTTTCTTGTCTTGTTTAGGAGATGGGGATCAAGCAGGACAATAAAGAATTAGCTGCAATCAGTCAGCCGTGTCTAATCATGGGTAAATTCCAGTGGTTCAGAGAACTTCCCCAAACAATTGTTCATAAGCTTCATATTTTAAGTTGACTGCATCCTATGAGAGTTTATGTTGAAGAAAATGAAAGCAAGACGTTGAGGAAACCTTTTACTTGACACACTGTAAAATAAGTTCCACTACATGGAAAGAGATTTTGGATGATTCAATTTTTTCTGTCCTATTCGAATCATTTTATTCATCTAATTGTGAGAAAAATGACAGTCTCTGGTTTGGTTGCATCTCTCTCTCTCTCTCTCTCTCTCTCTCTCTCTCAAGGGTTCAAAGACCACTCTGGAATCTAATAAATGTTAGAATGTGTCTTCCCCTTAAGGTTGCTTTTCACCAAATTATGCAGTAACTAGTTTCTAAATTCAGGAATTGGCTACTCATATTGGGGAAGTCGTGATCAACAAATGCTTCTGCACTCGTAGAAACCCGATAAGCATCTCTGCAGCCGCTATATATCTTGCGTGTCAACTAGAAGACAAGCGGAAAACTCAGGCTGAAATTTGTAAAGTGACTGGTCTGACTGAAGTCACCCTCCGAAAGGTTTACAAGGAGCTCCTAGAGAATTGGGATGATCTACTGCCGTCTAATTATACTCCAGCTGTTCCCCCGGAGAAAGCATTTCCAACAACTGCAATTACCTCAGGCCGGACTTCAATCAAAGCTGAGACAGCTGAAGTAATTGTACTGGACAAAGATAGCCAGGCGGAGGCTAAACCAAGCAAAGATAAAAAGGCGGACAATAAATCAAATAAGTTCAATGAAGTCCCTGACATGAACCATCGGGCCAGGTCCATGGACGAATCTGAATGTAAGGGTAACTCTACAGGAGCAGATACACACTTGTCAAATCAGATGCAAACTTTCATTCAGCCTTGGCTTTCTTTTGGGCCTTCTGGTGTCAGTTCAGCCGGAGAGAAAGGTCAGAGCGGTAGTTCGGCAGTAGACATAAAGGAGGCACTGTCAAAGCATCAAAGGCCCGAGAGCAAGGAAGATAAGGAGAAAAAGGTCACTTTTGGCTCTATAAAGCCAAATCCTATATCAAGTTCCTCTGCTACTGCAAGCTCAGTTACTTGGCCATTCTTTGCCTCACAATTTGGGGAAGCGCCAAGAGGGTTGCCTGACGATGTTGAAATGAAAGAAGTTGAGATCCAAAATAAACATAGAAATGCCTAGTGCGGAGATATTCGAGTGTATAAGGTGAGAACTGAGAAGCAACCCTGTTGTGTCTTTTTGTCTTCATAATGTATATAGTCACAATTTCCCATGTAGTTTGTTGTTATGAATCATGACCACCTTCTTCTTAAAAATTTGGAAAAAAAACCCTGTTAGTACTTTCAGTTTCAAAGTCAATGCCCATCGCATGACGCCCTTGTGATTACAACTGACTGAAGCTTTTTGAGATAAGCAAGTGCTGCGCTTTTTGTCGAGGATGGAAATTGAGATTGCTTGTGATAACTAATAATATGACCGGCTACTTTGTGAGGTTTTTGATGGCTCTTGAGTTCCTGGATCCAGAAAAGTCAAGTGAGGTTGGCATTTGTTACTTATGGACTGATTGTATTATAGGAATAATATGTAGGCCCTTGTAATCGTAGCTTGTTTTACCAGATTCTGCTGAAAAGAATATAATGCTTTGGTAGTGTCTTGGTGACGAGGTTCGAGCTGCTAATTGTTTGGGGACAAAAAAGCGAGCCCGAAACAACTTGGATGCTGAAGTCGGGATATGAATCGGTTCCCTCTAATGAATACCAGCATTCGCCTTCGTGGTATGGTAATGATGAGAATCCTTTGCACGCTTTATCCATTCATTCTTTCCCTTCCATATGATATCTAACCGGGAGGGCTCCCATTTAATGATTTAGTACTGTGATGGATCAAATGTTCGCTTGGTTTGAACGACATGGAATTGTTACCATGTGCTACTTTAGGATAAAAACTGACTAACCCATGCATGGCAAGTAAGATATCGTCCCAACTTTGAACTGATTGTACCTACTATAGCCAAATTCGTAGAATGTATAACTGGCCTCCCGATCGGTTAACACATCAAACTAGCCATCCATTCACCGTTGGAGTAATGAAAATTAAGGCCTCCAGCTGAATCTATTTACTAGTCACTTCTATGTAATACCATGTCGTCAATTACGGGTCATTGGTGGTGGTCAATTACGGGTCATTGGTGGTGGGCATTCAGACCTTCTAGAGTCAAATATGACGCGATACACAGCTATATACTAAGAGAGATTGAGCTATACTAACAAAAATTATTCAGGTTTCATGATATGTATAGTCTCTGTCTATTTGATGTACGATTCACTAGAGATCGGACAAGCTATGAGTGCCTGGCATGCGAATCCACGAGACATCAGGCCCCTTTGATACCATAACAAATGATTTTCAGTACCGCGCCTATTAATTTTCCATTAAACAGAGTATATAATTGTAAGTTGGGTAAATTTTCAATTTCGCGCCCCGAGTTGAAACTAAGAAACTGCGAGCCGGGTTCAATTCTTTAAGGGTAATCGCTTGGTATTATAGATAAATACACTCACCCACAAAATCTGCGCCTCAATCAACTCAAAAAGTTTTGCCCACTGTCCCTTGACCAACGTGGGTGTCCAAAGAAGGTAAGACAATACCTCAGCCAGGAATTGGTAACAGAAATAACAGACGAGGCTCCAAAACTAGAGGTGGCAAAAGACAAGGGTTGGAGAGAGAGGGAGAGGGAGAGCGAGAGAGAGGCCCTCCTTTGTAGGAAGGAAGAGGAGATGATGGTGATGGGGGTTTCTCTATCTAAGATGCAACCATCACTATGCTTCACCCTTTTTTCCTGGTTCCTCTGAGTGACAACTCTCCTATTTCGTTCTGTCCAGGTAAGCCACTTTTGCTTGTCCTTCATCATCTTAAATCATTGATATTCTCCTTTCATCTCCATGGAAGATGCTGCAAGTGTATGTATACCCCCCTTTAAGTTATTTAACCTATAGGAAACCATTTGCTCTTGGAAGTACATCTCGTGATCCTTCGTTTTTAATCTCCTAGCGATAATCCTGTGTTTAGAGCCTGTTGTTTTCGCGATGATTTAGTCACCCGACCTGCCCTTTAAGCACCTGTATAAACTGTGATAGGAAAGGAAGAAAATTCAGCATCTTCCTCATGCAACGCACGTCGCGCATTTGCTAAACAAGTAGAGAGAACCATTCTCTTGCATCAGAACTTTATTCGTTCCGAATCATTTTCCCATCTGATTGTTTTGTGTTACCTGAGCGAAATTATCTTTTTTCTTTAGGAGGTGGAATTTGATCTCCAAATTTGCAATCACTTAATGACTCTAATCCTTTTCTTTCCTACGATTTAGATTTCGAAAGCCTTGTTAAATGCGGTTGAACATTGTGGATTCTCTTTTACATTTAACTTTCTTAGGGATTGAGCACGTTGACGATTGTTCTCTTAATGACAATGCTTCTGTTGCATGGAACTGTTTTTTTTTCTCTTTCGCGCTTATATCCATATCATGTCATGCAATCTTCCTTTCAGGGGTCGTCGATCACAGAGGCGAGCAGTTGCGGGAGTAGTGGAGGTTTTCGCTTAGAAAGCCTAGCGGGAAGTTGATGATCTGCCATTGACAATACAAAATGTCTTCATCAAACGAGACTGCTCCGTCACCGGATTCCCCATCATCTCCCATTGCTCCACCACCTCCCAAATCCTCGGACGGCAACAATACTGGCTCGTCCTCCCCCCCGGCCCCGGCAGCATCCTCACCCCCGGAATCATCACCCTCCCCTCCACCGCCCTCCGATTCATCCTCGCCGCCCCCTGCCTCTTCCCCACCACCAGCTCCCTCTAATGAATCATCTTCATCCCCGCCACCACCTCCCTCGGATGATTCTTCTCCGCCTCCGAACTATGTTCCACCCCCTCCCCCACCGCATTCTTCATCCTTAGCCCCCCCACCACCACCAGGTACAAAGGCATTGTCGCCTCCACCTCCACCTGCACACCGGACACCTCCGTCATCGAGTACATCTTCTTCTTCTTCATCATCTTCGTCGTCGAGCAACTTGCCAATAGTAGTTGGAGTCTCGGTTGGATTAGGGTTGGTTCTCATTATTTTTATTGCTAGCTGTATCGCGTGTGCCGTGAGGAAGAAGAAGAAGAAGCGTGACGAGATGCATTATTACATGGATCATTCTCATGGTCACAAAGGTCAGTTATAAGCTTACTGTGTGTGCTTGCATGCAAATCCTCTTCAATGCCTCTTTTCTGAAAATCTAAGAACGCTTGGCATGTTAATAATAAATAGACCAAAAGATATGCATTGCTTACAGCATATCTCAATATTATTAAATTTACTCGCGCAAGAACTTTGGACTTCCCAATGAATTTGCATTGACAAAATCTTATAAGTAAAGCATTTTCTTGTTAGGTCCCTAGTTGTAAGATTTATGTTCACTTGCGTGATCCAATTAAAACATTATAATGTAAATTTGGTCAATTTATCAATGGCGGACCTTGAATACATTACAATTTTTTTTCCGTATCTTCAATTGGTATGGATGTGTGTTCTTGCAAATAATTTGAAAGCCATCAATAGCTAAAGAAGTTCTATTCAACCATCAAAAGCTGATCATACATCAGACGGTTGAACATTCATCTATAAACGTTAGACGATTACAATTCCTGTTTCTCTATCTTTGATCATGCAGTTGGTCATGATTACTACCACAGCTCACAACACCCGAACTGGCACAACAGGAACCCCGCATCCGACCACGTCGTCAAGCTCAACCCGCAGTCTGGCATCATGGGGTCCCCTGGCGGAGGTGGCTGGCTGCCGCCGCCGCCCCCTCCGCCGATGATGAGCAGCGGTGACATGAGCTCAAGCTACTCAGGCCCGCGCCACCATCCGCCACTTCCCCCTCCTTCGCCGAGCCTCACCCTCGGCTTCAACAGCAGCACCTTCACGTATGATGAACTGGCCGTTGCGACCGGCGGGTTCGCACAGGCCAACATGTTGGGTCAGGGCGGGTTTGGCTACGTGCACAAGGGGGTGTTGCCAAACGGGAAGGAGGTCGCTGTGAAGAGCCTCAAATCGGGGAGCGGTCAAGGAGAGAGAGAGTTTCAAGCTGAAGTGGAGATCATTAGTAGGGTTCATCATCGCCATCTTGTGTCGCTTGTTGGGTATTGCATTGCTGGTGGACAGAGAATGCTGGTCTACGAGTTTGTTCCAAACAAGACCTTGGAGTACCATCTTTATCGTGAGTTTTATTTAACAAATCGCATTACATGAAATCTAAACAATTCATCAGACAAATCCGCCTTCAATCAATTCTAACTTGGAAAATCATTCTTGATCATTGAGTGATTGGTAAAAAGTACCTTTTTCTAAGTTGTAAATCATCGAAAAGTTGTTTTCGCAATTCAGTGAAAGGTCAATGATGTGCTGAACGAATAAGGTTTTTGAGATCAATAATCTTAAACAAGCCATTAAATTGTCATATTATCTCAAAGACATCTGGGTCAATTTTCCATTCTCATGTTAATCTATGCATCTATGGTCATCCCAGGTGATGATCCGGTGATGGACTGGGCAACTAGGCTTCGAATTGCAATAGGATCTGCTAAAGGACTTGCTTACCTTCATGAAGACTGTTAGTCTCTCTCTCTCTCTCTCTCTCTCTAGAGTGCGCGCGGATGTGTCCTTTTACACAAATATTTGTGCAGGCCATCCTCGCATTATTCACCGTGACATTAAAGCCGCTAATATCCTCTTGGACAACAACTTTGAAGCTATGGTAATGTTGTTAACTACAATCATCTATAGTTAACATCATACTTTTTGCATCTGTAATTGAACCATCTTGTGCAGTTGATAATCTCATATAACTATGGTGTTTGATGTTTTCCTTCCAGGTGGCTGATTTCGGATTAGCAAAATTGTCTTCCGACAATTACACACACGTATCTACGCGTGTTATGGGAACATTTGGGTGAGAGATTATTATTTGTCTCATTAAATGAATTGCTGTGTTAAGTCTACTACGAAGGAATCCTTGTGTATGATTGACTTTCACGAGACCGCCTATATGATCTTGCGATTCATGGCGAGTCTACTTAGAGTGCTTGTTGTCTGATTCTCCCTAATGCAGGTATCTGGCGCCAGAATACGCGTCGAGTGGCAAGTTGACAGAGAAGTCCGATGTTTTCTCTTTCGGGGTTATGCTCTTGGAAATAATTACAGGACGAAGACCCGTGGATATTCATAATGTTATGGAGGATAGCTTAGTGGACTGGGTACGCTGCTTCTAAATCATTCCTCAGTATAATTTCCTCATTATCATTCTTATTCTCAAATCCTCAGTAGACAGGCAACATGTTAGTGAATTATGGGAAGAAAAATGACAAATTCTAAAATGTGATGATGGGCCTCAGCGAAACTCCATAGGAATGTGATTTTTCCGATCATATAAGCAAAAGGTGATCTGTTTTGGCGGCTCTCCAGTAACAAACTTCTTTGGTGATGCTCAACTTTAACGTAGTAAAGCTTTAGCCGATTGATTTCTCACTGGACTTGAGGAGATACTCAAATCTTGAATTTGCTTGTGCTTCAGGCTCGACCACTTCTAACGCAAGCATCGGATGATGGGAACTACAATGAACTGGTGGACCCAAGGCTGGAGAACAATTTCAACCCCCATGAGATGGCTCGCATGGTCGCTTGCGCTAGTGCTAGCATTCGTCATTCTGCAAAAAAGCGCCCGAAAATGAGTCAGGTTCGAAACTTCTCTCTGTGAATTCTCCTTTGCAGTGACTTCATACTTTATGCTAGGAAGAATTTATGTAGTCTCTTCTCAATTTCAGCCACATTTCCAAATACTTTTTCACTTCACAAAGTTTCAATCTATATATCACTGTAACTTAGTTATGTCCTTTACTAGATAATCACTTATCAGACAATCAATAATTTCGACTTAAGGTTTCTAGAGCTGTTGATTTAATCCATTTGACCATTCATGTGATCTATATACTATATCACCTGAAATTTCCTGCTGAAGTCCTCTGTCCCGCACCCTTTATTTAAGATCTTGCGAAGATAAGTCCTACCAAAGCCTGGCAATAAGTTCTTAATTTGTCCGTTGCTTCTGATGAGATTGCCTGAAGTCATCCATCTCAAATTGGGATGGTGAAAGAACAATTCTATACATGTGAACAACCATTATGTGGTTTGCAGATCGTGAGAGCGCTCGACGGAGATGTGTCCTTGGACGACCTGAATGAGGGAGTGAGGCCCGGCCAAAGCTCGGTGTTCGGCACAAATAGCAGCTCTGACTACGACGCGAGCTCGTACAATGCCGACATGAGGAGGTTCAGGAAGGTCGCTTTGTCTAGCCAAGACTTCGGAAGCAGCGACTTCGGGGCTTCAAGTGGCGACTCTAGGGAGATGGGCCGCTCTCCAAACAAAGCCTAAAACATCGAAAATTTCGAAAAAAACTTAATGCCAAAGAATAAGAAAAGAAAATGCCGCGAAAACGGCAGGAAAAAAAAAAGCATTTTTAATATCGATTTCGATCTGTTATCGCGTACTAATTGTGATGTTAAGTTAAACATTCCCATGATCTTCCCCGTGTCAGAATTTCTCTTATTCTTTATGGGTGTAATACTCGTTTTATTACACAAATTGATGGGCATGTGAGTGCTTATATACTTCAAGAATTGAGCAAAATTAGCTCAGTTGTTAACTTATATGATGTAATAATATGTGATAATATATGTCTTCTTACAAGACTGAATTGGGTTTACCAGTATTTGGACTGCTGTTGTTACGCAGAGATGCAAGCAAAATTTGTAACCCGTGCTTAGAATAGGATCCTTCAATGTGAAATGGAAACTGACCAAAGAATTATACAATTCAACACACCCATTGAAAATAAAGACCCGTTCAAAATAAAGGAATATAATCACAATTAAATCAAGGGCAAATACCATAAAAAAATAAAAAATAAAAAACAAAATCCCAAACTATACATGCCGTGAAACAAATATTCGAAACTTTTTTTTGTTACCAAAGGTAATAAACTTACCCACCATGACAAAACTACTTCCAACTTTTTTTGTGTCCCATTTATACATGTGTGACATATATATCTTCTACTTTTGTTTCATCCATGGTATGTTTGTCACACTCATGATTTTTTATGGCACAAAAATATTGGGGTATTTATGTCACAGTTAGGGGTGGGTGTTTTGAAAATACAAACCGAATTGTTAGAGCGTACACTTGAACCCAACCAAAAATCCCAATTCGGTTTAGATCGGATCGGTTTGGGTGAGAAAATGAATATTAGTGTTTTTCATGGCGATTTCGAGATATGTGAAAAAGAGCATTCAAACCATCATTCCATATCATTATCAACGAGGATCCAGGTAACATACACACACTTCGTTTGCTTCCGGAATGGCCGAAGCCATACCCAATTCTGAAAAGGGATAGCAAAGAAACGACAGATCTATTCACTCTATCAATAAGTTGAGCAAAAATTCATAATTTCTTGTACTTCCGTTTACTTCATAGGTGATTATTAGCTTATTCTGTTTATTAACTTTTTTAAAATATGGTTAATATCACGAAAACTTTTAAACTGATACACCTATGACAAATTTACCCAAAACTAATTTTTTGATCACAAAAAATCACAAACTGATATACTTGTAACAAATTTACTACAAACCGATTTTTTTTTTATCACAAAAAATCTCAAACTGGTATATTTGTGATAATTTTACTTTCCATTAAATTGGATTAATACCACGAAAAACCACAAATTATTACACATATGTTAAAATCTTGAACTGGTACACTCATCAACTGTCATGTATAATTTAACTCAGGAATTTGACCGTAAAATTTAACGGAAACTGACGAAAGATAAATTTTTCACAGATTTACCAGTTTGGGGTTTTTTGTGGTCAAAAAATTAGTTTGTGAAGGTGGTATTAACTAGGAGTGTGCAAAAGAACCGGGACCAGCCCGGGACCGCCCGGAACCGGTGGTTCCCAAGGGAACCGGTCGGTTTCGGTTCCAATTTTGGAACGGTGGGTCTGCTCCTTCGGTTCCGAACCGCCACCCGCCCACCCGGACTGGTTAATATAATAATAATATATTTTATTTTTTTAATTTTTAACTAAAAATCTGACCAAAAAAATTTAAAAAAGAAGAAAATTTGTTATCATGTCTAAAGGTCTTGTGTAATTGGGATAACCTTGGTCATTTTTCCCAATAATTAATGGGTACCCACTTGATTTATGGATGATGCGGTTAATATAACCGATCATAGTATATGAAAACCGCCCACCCGGACCATGCACACCCCTAGTATTAATCCTTTAAAATAATAATAATAATAATTTTCTAGAACCTTTAATTTCTTCACCACTTCTCCCTCCTCCAATTCGCAGGCTATAAAATCGCCTTTACCAAAGCCCAGCTCTCATTTTCAGCCGAGAGAGAGAGAGGGAGAGCGGTGGAGACTCTGCAGGACCCCCCGCCGCCGCCGCGCGCCGCTCCCCGCCGCCGCCGCATCGCCGAATCGACTCGTATTCTCTCTCTCGAAGCCGATCAGCCTGAGGCCCTTTTGTATCTCCTCCTCCTCCTCCTCCTCCTCCTTCTTCTTCGCATAAACCCTAGCTCGCGACGATCCCGAGCTCGCCCGCCATGGGAGACTACAACGACGCCATGATGCGCAACCAGAACGCCGCCGTGCAGGCTCGCACCAAGGCCCAGAGCCGCGCCAACGTTCTGCAGCTCAAGCTGGTCGGTCCCCTCCTGAACCCTCTCTCTCTCTCTCCCTGCGTCGCTCTTGCTTTGTTGCGATTTCCCGTCCGTTTGTGCGGTTTTGGGCTTTCTTTTTGCTGTTTTCGATTGTTCATGCGTTGCCTTTTCTTGCGATGTTGATTGTGGGGATAGTCTCTTGATCTGGAGCTTTGGTTGTATTGAGATGGCATGTTGCGGTAGAGGGTTTTGTCGGCGTGAATTTAGCTCTCGTAGCGAGAATGATTTGATCTGGGTCTTTACAATATCGTTGATTTGGCGGGGCTTGCGCGAACAACGTGTCTTCATTGAAGAGTCGGTCGGTTTCTTCTGTGCCTGTCTTGTTCTTGGTGCCCTGTCAATGGAGGAATGGACCTTGAAGATGCTCGATCAAATTTGTGAAGTAACACTGAGGACAGCTCTTTTGAGTTTCTGCAATCTCTTGCTCATTCTCCGCTTCGAGATCCTTGTTAGGTGTTCGAAACCAAAGACCTAGCGGAACCGTTTCACCCAACATAGGATTACCTGTCCTTTCCTCTTCGCGAGTTTATCGCATCGAAATATCTCGAAAGGATTTGTTCTATTCCTGAAAAATACTCGGCATTATGCATCGAATTGGCTTTTTTCGTGTTGGCAGCTCCTTATTTTGCTAACTCGCCTTACTGAGTTAATTTTTTTAAGCATGTTGATGCCCGTGCTTATGGAATTTGTTGAGTGGATTTTAATGGTGTCTAATTGATTTGCAGATTGGGCAAAGCCATCCCACAGGTTTGACGGCTAATCTGTTGAAGCTCTTTGAGCCTCGGCCTCCACTCGAATACAAGCCACCTCCAGAGAAAAGAAAATGCCCTCTGTACGCAGGTACTGCTAGTACTCTATCGATATTGAGTAAATGTTGGCATGTAGTTGTTAAATAAATAAAAATTTATGCTGCTCTTGTGTATGGGTAGGGATTGGGCAGTTTGTCAGTCATTTTGCTGAACCTGGTGATCCTGAGTATGCTCCGCCTGTTCAGAAGGCTGAGACCCCTGTAAGAATGTTGATATTTTTTGTCATCTTCAAATCTATTTGCAAAAAAGTACTGGTGCTCGTGACGATTTCCGTTCTTGTTTAATGCATTCCTCTGTCTTTGCTTTGCTTAACTTTGATGGCTTTCCTTATTTTCCTGTCATATTTCATTATCTTGCTTATTCTGAGACTATGGTGTTTTACAAGATTGGGTTTGTTAATTCAGAATGTCGGAGTTTTAATTTTGAATCCTCCATTTAGGGGGCAATCTCACGTTGCATCCTTTAATTTTAATGTATTATTATACTTCCTCTAATTTGATGGAAACTTTTCACTTTACATCAATCAATTTCCTTCAATTAACCGCTTGAATAAGTCTGTAGTTTACGTGCCCACCACCAGTACTAAAAGCATATAAATGTCCTTTATAACCTCTGATATGTCTCACTTATTATTTTGGCCTAATCAGCTCATTTGCTTTTGTCTCATTACTCACTTCTCTCTTTACACACTTGCTCTCCCTTCAATGACACTATCTTTCCTCTAGTATTGACTCTCGTCTAACTATAATACTGTTCCTATGCATGCCAGAGGATTTCATTCTTTTAACAATGAGAAACTAGAAATTAGCTACTCATCTTTTTCACCGTCCAATTTTGTCATGTTCTAAGGTGAAAAAAATGTGAATTAACTTTCAGTGAATAAGTGTGAGAAGTGAATCAATCGTGAAATTTTTAAGTAAATGCACTTGTGATGGATGAAAAGGCCTAAGAATGTTAAGTGGATGATGGAACATGATAATTTAAGACTAGGGCATTTGATGAAGGTGAACATACCCCAAAAGTTTGTTCCCAGTCACTTCTTTGTTGGTGGCTGCAGGAAATTTCTCAGACTTCTTTCCTTAACTTCTATTAATTTCTGAGAAATTTAGTGTGTTGCGTTTCTTTATTTTGTGACAGACTATGTAATCATGTTCATCTTACACGCTATTTCATTATAAGAAGAAGAGCTCGATTGTTAGCTCTGGAATAATTGGCACTTTTCTGTTTTCTCCCTCTTATATGTCGTGTATCGTCTTCTTGTCATGTTCTATTGATTTAGGTTGAGAGAAGGGCTAGAATCCACAATTTGCGTCTGGAGAAGGGTGCGGAAAAGGCTGCTGAGGAGCTTAAGCAATGTACCTTTTTTGTTCTTGTCTTGTAAAGTGGATGATTGCTTTCATGGATTTCAATGTTTAATGGTTTTCTGGTGCAGATGATCCAAACAATGATCCAAATATTTCAGGAGATCCTTATAAGACACTTTTCGTTGCGAAGCTTGTGAGTGTTGTTTGCTAGTGGTATCAAGGTTTGTGCTTTCATTAATTATTGGGCTGATGAGAATAATTTGTGACTTTGTTTTCTGTTTGTTGCAGAGCTATGAAACTTCTGAAAGTAAGCTTAAAAGGGAGTTTGAATCATATGGGCCGATAAAACGGGTAGGTACTTCTGAGAATCCCTGTGTGGGATTGGTAAGAACAATATTTGTATCACTGCTTTTGATCAAATGTTTTGAATTTGAAATTTCTTCAAAACTCTTAAGTTTGAGAAGTTTATTTGTTTCAGTTTGTCTCAAAGTTCTCTCTCTCTCTCTCTCTCTCTCTCTCTCTCTCTCACCTTCAAGGAAAAAATAAAACCAATGTTGACGCATTTGCTGTCCTTATTTTCACGCAATGATGTTAACTTTTGCAAGTTTGAGGGTAAGTGGTTGTTGTTTTTGTTCTTTGTGAAATTTGAACATAGTAGCTCCACTTGTTTGCAAGACCTCAATACAGTTCCATTCAACTATGATCTGTGAATCGTGGTAATCTGTTTCCTCACTATGTTGATTTTCTTGAACTTTGTAAATAATTTTGCTGCACCCGATTTCATGTTCCTATTTGGACTATTGGGGGAGGATGTTAGCTGGCATAGTCTCTCTTATGTATATCCTCAACAGTGTGTAAAGTCATCGAGAATGGGGCTGCTTCTTTTTCCATGGTTTTCCTGCCGATGGAATGATCTTTTCTTTTTTAAAGTGGGTACTGCATTTAGGAATTTCTCTAGGTTAGAATATCTGATCCAACAATTATCATGGCTTGAGAAATCTCTGGTAAGGCCCGTCTATCTTTACCTTTCTAAATCTCCGTGTCTTTGGACACCGGTAAGGTGGTTTTCTCTTCACTTGTAAAAGTAAAAACGGAAAGAAAAGTGAGCAAAGGAGGGTCTCCACTTCTTGCCCCCTTCATTTATGTGGGGGTGTGCTGGTGGCTCGTGAATTTGATTGCACACTTGCTTCGTCGTATATGGCATGTATTGTGCCTTTTTGGCCTTTTTTCCTCAAGCAATCAGAGGGGTTGAACTTCTCTTTCTGCAATAGGTAAACGATATAGGTAGTATCAGCTTCTATTCCTCTTTTAATCGGATTTTCCAGTAACTGATTCTTTTTGCTAATCGGGATTTTGCTTTTGGCTTTAAAGGCTCAAAAATCTATCAGCAGTTGGAAACAAGTCCTGGTATTTCCTGCGTTTAAATTCCTTGTTAATTGTTATTAGAAAAAAAATTGTCCCCTGGTAAGGGAAGGTTAGTCCAAGTTGAATTCAGTTTTCCTGCGATTCTGGTGGTGATGCACTTTGCAATGGGAGGCCCTATTGATTAAAGGTGAGCACGGCTAATGAGGCAAAGTGCCTGTTTGCCGTGCCATTTAGGATTTACTGTTTGTAGGCTTAGCTTTACATTGACATGTAGTCAATCGAGGTTCTACAACTTTTTTCACGGTCATGGAATCTTTTAATTTACTGATTGACTTTGACTTTTCCAGGTTCGGTTGGTCCAAGATACAGTGTCTCAAAAACCAAAAGGCTATGCTTTCATTGAGTATCTGCACACCAGGGACATGAAAGGTTACATCAGCTTGGCCTTGTGAATTTTTTTTTTTTTTTTTGCATCCTGGTTGACCCAGCTTGGTATTATTGAATATAAATTTGGTATTGTCCATGTCCTTCTTTGATCATTGCTGGCATATGTCTGCAGCTGCCTATAAACAGGCGGATGGAAGGAAGATTGATGGAAGAAGAGTACTTGTAGATGTTGAACGTGGTAGAACAGTTCCGAATTGGCGACCTCGCAGACTAGGAGGTGGACTGGGGACAAGTCGTGTTGCAGTTGGAGGTGAAGATGCTAGTCAGAGGCAGGTTGGGAGGTAAACTAGCTTGATGACTTTTAACATATCTTCTGATGAAATACAGTTTTAAAGTTGCACAACTTGCGTAACAACTTGGATTATGGGTCAGCTGGGAAACGAACTATAGACTAAATGGTTGAATTGCAAAAGTTGTATATCATCCATATGACCTAAACTAGGTTAAGTTTAGTGGAAAATCTGCTGGTTATCCTGTGTGATCCTGATATTATCCCTGAAATGAGCGGACATTTTATCTTGTTAGTTTCAGACAACCAACAATTATAGGTAGGCTGGTTATAGAGCTCCTCAAATTTCAGAAGAAAATGAGAAAATATTCTTTATTGTCTCTTCTGTTGATTCTTATCTTTAATAGTTTCAAAATTTCTTCTTTCTGATTAAAAGCAAATCTGATCTGATATACTTGTGATAAATCTTTAAGGGAGCAACCACCACCTGGAGGACCATCTAGATCGGAGGAACCAAGGGCGCGAGAGGATCGATATGAGAGGTTAGAATTGTTTCCCATTTTTTAATCCCATTATTGTTCAGTTCTCAAGGTGGTGTATGTTTCTTAGTATTGGTCAAAATAGTCAAACTCGCTTTGGTATATGAGATTTTTAAGACTCCCATAAACTTAAATTGTGAGAGATTATTGTAAAATAAAAAAGTTTTACTGGACTTTATAAGTTTATATTTTAGCAAGACTGTCCATATCAAATTTCTAACTTCTTCCTGTACATACAAATAGTCAGGCGTCTTTGCTAAGACCAATCCAACCAAGCTTGAAGTACCACCCTTCTACTTATCTCCATGACGCCAATCTACTTCACATCACTTTGCGAAAACAACAAGGAGCCTCTCAGTTAACAAAGTACCAAATTGTTTATGTTGGAAGAGAAATTTGCTAAATGAGCTAACTAACAAGCAAACTGAAACAAACGCTTGACAGAAAACCTGTTTACATATAGAGATATACCGCAAAAGCAGAAACTATTCCCACTAATTAGACCTATAATTGTATATAATAAATGAAAGTTTACTGAAAAATTAAAATTTATAAAATTCTGATTAAATAATAAATGAAAGTTTACTGAAAAATTAAAATTTATAAAATTCTGATTATGATAAAAGAACATGCAAGAAACAATTTCATTAATTCTTGAGAGGAGAATTGTCTCTCATTATGACAACTGTTAATCTAGAACTCCATAAGAAACAACAATAAGGGTGTTTGTTGTAGGTAGGACCTCATGTTGGTTTGGTTGAAGGTGCTTGTCACCATAGGAGTCGCCTGTTTCTGTGGATGGAGTCAAGTTGAGGCACCACTGTCCCCATGGCTGGACTGGCCGACTTCATTAGGGAAACAGTCATTTGCCAAAAGCACCGTATCATGCCCTTCCATATGGTTTGGCCCTTAATAAGCCCGAAAGAAGGACAAGAAAGATTCAGTATATGATGAAATTGGTCTCAACACCCAAAACATGATTTTATTGTTTTTAATAAGTCAATTGCAATTCTAGGATGAGATCTCTTATCTCACGTTTTTAATCGAGCTCACAAGGTTTCTTTTGTCTATCGCTTGCTAGAGTGATTTTGACCATGTTGGTAGCTTGATGCAGGTGGATGATAAACTATGTTAACTCTCCTTTTATAAATTATCTCACAGTTATCAGAGGACATACAAACTGTCTCATCTATAGGAGCTCACCTGCTTATATTTTCGTCTATATGTCTTGATATGTTGCTGACTTAGGAGAACGTATTCTTTGTAGGGAGAAGTCTCGGGAAAGGGGAAGAGACAAAGAGGGAGAACGTGAAAAGTCCCGTGAGCAATCTCATGATCGGCCAAGAGATCGTGATCGCAGAGAAGATAGGCACCACAGGGACCGTGGCCGTGACCGGGATAGGGATGGAGAGAGAGATCGTGGCCGTGACCGTGACCGTGGTCGCGATCACCGTGATAGAGACCGTGAACGCGATCGTGATCGTGACCGTGACCGTCGTGATCGCCCTCGTGAGAGGGATAGAGAAAGGGATAGGGAAAGGGAATATGAAGTTGACCGTGATCGGGACCGTGGCCGTTCTCATGATAAGGAAGCAGACTATGATCGCGTTGAATCAAAGCATGATCGGGACAGGCATGCAGGGAGGGAGCGAGACTATGATCATGCTGAAGCTGAGGATGATCAAGGATATTACAGACATTCGGAGCATGGGCACGGGCAGGTGGAGGCTGACCGCGACTACGAGCCCTATGATAACTATGAGCAGCACCATGGAGAGCGGGGTCGCTATGACCACTCTAGTGACCGTGTTCGTTATGCTCATTATCCCGAGGATGCTCATCACTATGATCAGATGGAAGAGGACAACTATCACTACGATCGCAGTGCCAGTAGAGACCGTGATCGGGAGTAAAGATGGAGAGTTCATATTTGCGGGATTAACAGAATGTGCGCTCTTCTCCCCTTGTTACTTTGAATTCGCTGGATTGTTTCGTGGGTGGTGCAGTTTGTTTATTCGAATCAGTCGTAGACTGTGTGGTTTGTTAAACAAAACGAAATGGCTTTTTGGGGACTTCTAATTTGAATTTTCGTGTTTTTGTTTATTGGACAGAGTGGATGCCTCACATGCTGTGCTTTTTTCAATGTTTTTTCCTGGTGGTTTTAGATCAATATAGATCTGCATAGACTTGCTTATTACTATTAGCAATGACCATGCTCAAGCTGCAGTAAAATGCTAAAAAGCAAGAATTGGAGAAGCGATTTATACTGGGAATCTTGAGGTGTGTTTCCTGGACAATCGATTATTTTGTTCATGAAACAGCAGCAGAAACAGTTTCAAGTTGAATCACTTCGGCTTCGAAAATGAGAAAATTGGCTTTAGAATCATCCAGCATGCCCGATGAATTGCTTGTAAAGAAAAAGTAGTCGGTGGTCGTCTTGCCTGTGAACGTTTGGGAAGGCTTATTGTGTTTGCTTGAGTTGGAGGCGGCTATTTCCGATGAGACCCGAGGACACGACTGAAATCCAACATGACATGACAAAGAGTGGACACGTTGTTACTCATTTTTAATGGAAATTTTGTATTGTCCTAAAATGACATGACAACCAATTTGGTAAGATTTTCATCGGATATGAACGTGGTATCCCTCAATTTGAGTCCTCTTGGCACGAGACTCATTTTCTCGAGCCTTATCTCCAACAATGGCAATAGCTATACCATCTAATTTCGACATTTTCTCGATCACTTGGTATGCACCACCAACTCTCTCAGTCATGCTCTTTACAACTTGCTCTGATACCACTTGTCAAGAACCGACACTGAGATTGTGATCATGCCGCTCTTAAGCTTCCTTTAACCTGATCACTCCATATTAGAGTCGCCTAGGCTCAAGCTTTCTTTTGAATTCGATATGACACGACTTAATTCGAAATTGTTAGCATTAACACGTGTTTTCTTTCACTTTTAAAAACAAATAATTTTCTAGCAAAAATAATAAATTTCTAATGCAGTTGAGATATTTTTGTTATGACACAGAATAACACGACTAGTCGACACGAACATGACATATGAACATGAATTGCCAGCGGCAAATATCGACATAGTGTATTACTCAAAAGTTCGTCTCACACGCAAGGACACATCATCGATCATCATCCTTTGTCGCTTTAAATATTGTAACAACATTTGATCGGTTGAGTTATATGATGTAATAACATTGGATTGGTACTGATACAGTAAGAAAATGTTATATCCCAGTATAATTTGAGTAGAGTACATAATCATGAGTGATGACACTGATGGTACAAAATGTTCTCAATTTAATCTGTAAGTGTGTTTAAATTTGTTAAACTTGGTCTTATGTAGAACCATGATTGAAACTTCGATAATTAAATGACTTAACTAAACTGTCGTCGATTGTAGATCGATAAGCGAATTTTAAGATAGCACATTCATTGTAGTTGTGCAAACTTAAATACTATTTGCAGTCAAGTGCAAGCCAACAATCAAATTATAGGCTTAAACTTACAAAATATATGGTTAAGTTCTAAATTAGACATTACGTTGTCCTCCAATAATTTAAGCTTTTAGAGATTATGATGCCGAAGCGCGATAGAAAATTTGACTGAACAAGAAAATTCGACAGAAGAACAATTCGTTCTCCAAATATGATTATCAAATCAAAATATTCAAAATCTGCTCAAAGGAAACCCTAAAACAAGCTTATATATCCCCAAACCTAACCCTATTAGGATTAGTAAACATCAAAACGCAAAATTACGAAACTGCCCTTTACTAAATTAACCCATAAAAAATACTAAAAAAATAGAAAAACCCATCTAAACAATCTCGAATCGCGAAAATCCATCGTTAGTCACGGCCAAAGGCGGTGAGTATTGATCAGCACGCCGTTTCGCTTCAGCCGATCAAATTTGAGCTCAATCTGATATCGTTGACTTCAAACCCGCCGATTCGTCCAGTCGCATAATGGGTCCGCCGGTCCCCCCTAGGTGCATCAGATTATAGGATGGTATCATCGTTATATGACTCGGATTTTTCAGGCCAGTTTCTCTTCATGTTTAGGTTCTCTTACATCATTCTCTTTAAGAGATGAACCCCACGTTTTCCATCATAAGACCTATCCTGCTTGTCATTTTCAATTGATTCCTTCTTTCAACCCAATAAAACGAATCACAACAGTAGGTCTCCAGGTTAGCAGATAATGTTTCGCATCTTGACGCGATGTGCACGGTAATCTCAGTTCATGCCAGATTATATTTGTTGCGGGCATGCTTTACGGGATACTACTACATCGATCACGAGACGGCGCGTGTTTTTTATCTGAGCTTCAGTAGCGGAGAGGAAGCGGACGAAGATGGTATTCGCCGAAATGGGCAATGGACGAACCTTCTTCGCGGGTTTATTGCTGCTTCGGCCATGTACACATCTTCCCATGTCAGTACTATCATCACCAGAGACGTGTATCATTCCCTAGCCATGCAAACAAACACACAAGGAGACTTGCTTGTGATGCTTCCGGGAAATTTCCTGGAAATTCCGTTTCGGTTTTGTTTTGTTCTTGAGAGAGTCTTGTTTAGATGTTTACTGTTGGAAGTGATCGGATGAGTGAAGAAATGGAACATCTATTGTCTTGTAACTTGTGAGTTTAGCGTGCACGTGAAATGAATCTGCTTAATCATATGTGCATTAATAACAGCTCCATCAACAACATAGCTCAGGTTTTGGAATTTCTTGAAGAGAAGTTTGAATTCCATTCGGAGTGCCATGCAGATGATATAGATGGAGATAGTCATGGTACATTCGTGTCACATTCTGCAAAATGACTTTCGAAATCACTCTAACCAATTTATGAGTACCGATTGAGAATTAAAAAAAAAGTATTATGGGCAGTATATCTGATAATAGTCCTAATTTCATGGGTCAATTTCGTTGTTAAGAATTGATTATAAATGCGAAAAGTGTTGGAAAAGTCCTAAACATATTGTATTTGTGTCAATTTAATCCTAAATCTTTTTTGTGTCAATTTAGTGTTAAACATTTTGACATATTGCCAATCCAGTCATTCCAGCTAATTTTGACTGTAATTGATACTGTAAATAGCCCTAAATCAACTTTAACAATTAAGTGGAATTGAGTCTTTTTAGCAAAAAAAAAATTAAGTGGAATCGAGTCGAGTCTCGCTTGAAGTTATTAAGTAGTTTCTCGAGATTAGTTCAAACTTGACAAATGGAGCTCGATAAAGCTTGAATCTAGTCGCGAGCGTTGCGTAATCGAATTGAGGTGAAGCTCCAGTATTGAATCGGATCAACTTCATCCGACCCCATTACACTCCTAGGAAAGGGGTTCGGGACTCCGACGTCTCTATTCCAAAGGTTAACAATGGAACCCGTGGATACATCGAAAAAATGTAATGGACGGACAAGGTTTTGATATCCCGTATTATCGAGAGAGAAAAGTAAGGAGAGCGAAATACACAGAATAGTCGATATCCCCTTTTCATCTCGGATTCCAGAAACATCTCATTCCACCAGAATTTGGACGAGAGATTAATGTTATTGACAGATGTTCAATCCGGTAGCGGTGCATGCTACGAAACTACGTTGTGCAAACGACAGTTCCCGCATTCCAAATTCCAAGCTACGCTGCCGTTCTGTTTGGGGAAGAGATTTTGAACTTGGAGACCCTGCGCAGTTTCGCACGACCGTACCAGCATCAGCCTCTTCCAGTTCCGTTCCCAATTTGACGTCTTCGACCCTCATTTCAGTAGCTCGGCAAGAGGGTCGCAAGTTGCGGTAAGAACTGGACAAAAGAAGTCACCGTTGCTGCGAATTGTTTTGTCGTGGCAGACCTCAGCTTCCACGAAGTTTCAAGAAACAGTACCGGAACTGAAAGAAGACAATGCACCCTGCGACCACCCTTCACTCCACTTCACTTCCCGCTTCTCTCTTTCAAATCCCATCATTCGAAAATCTTTGTGAACTTGGGATTCCGTTGCATGGCGTGGAGTAGTACTTATCACTGTTCTGTAAACTCGCTCCAGTTGAGAAAGTAAGCTATCTTGAGAGGCACTTAGAAAAGGTTAAAGTGCATAGAGTTCAAACTACCATTTTCATCCATCTAAAACCTGAATTCAGTGCTTCAGGTGATTGCCAAATAAGTCACTAAACTGTGTCTGAGCATTTTCCAAGAATATACAACATAAGTTATTAATAATAGTCAATAACCCCGACCGTTTGCAATCCGTGTTAAGCGCATTAGATCTTACGACGACGATGGGTTCCAGAGCATGTTCACTGCATTTTATTATTTGATTAGTTCGTTTAATACGAGACAAACGAAAAGATTGTCTACAACCCCCTTATCAAGCAACTTTAATTAGCTGATATGGACTTTCATTTTCTTCAATTGATGGAATAATCAGATCCGTGCAGGACAGAAACAAAACATGGACAATAACACCCTTTCTTCAAAAGTAAAATGGAAATATAATTTCAGTATAAAAAAATCTTAATGAGGACCAAATAATTGGACCACAAGCTCAGAGAGAGAGAGAGAGAGAGAGAGAGAGAAGATTTATAAATGTAGAAGAGAGGTACTGAAGAGTGCACCTTCATATAATCCATGCAGCAGCTTCCCACAACCAACTCCCGCAACCCTGCACAGAAACGATAGGCCTAAAAGAAGAGCGATTAGCAATATCAAAGCTAACCAAGAAGTCGAAGAAATAGTATCTCTTCTTACCATCTCTGTTTCCATGGCAGCTCGAACCATGGTGAACCCGAGAGCATTGGTAGTGTCAGCAGGAGCATTAGCATGGTTTCTGTTGTTTACAAGTTTCGTCATCTCTGGCCACGCTGTGCGTGCCGAAAGACCATTACTACATGATAAAGCGCCAGAGGTCTCTGTGGAGGACACCCCGACACCGGGGTTCTTGGTTAGGGCTGCGAAATTCTTGTGGCAGAGCGGGAAGTCCTCCTATGAGCCAGTTTGGCCGGTGAGTTCTGGTTCTCTTCTCTGTTCTTTGAAACTTTGACAATCTTTGTCGTGTCTTGATCTTAGAAAGTAACACAACATGAGACGAAA